TAATAAACTCCCAAATTAGAGTTAGTTATTTAATTCAAGTTATTTAATAGGAATTCAACCCTCTCCCCCAAGCTATTTTACATCATACTCTAAATTTACAAATAATGGCAAAAGGAGGTTTATAGTAGAAACCAGGTATTGGACTTTGTGCAAAATATTGGGCATAGATATATTATGCTGTAAATGAAAGAAAAATGTAGAAGGAAAATATAAATCTGCCCTGGGGAAAGTTGGGGACAGTAAGTCTACCAAATAAACCTGTGCTACTATAGTGACCATTTGTCTTGGGTGATTATAGTTCAATTCTGCAGGACTAAATAAGACTTCTTCCTTCAGGAAAGCCAGCTGACATCAGGAGAATTAAGACTTCCCTATTCTGCAAGGTCTGGACTGCTAACCCAAGGGTTTTGACAGTGAGACTTGGATTACTTTCATATCTCAATTGCTCTATTTAAATTTTGAGAAAAGCACAGACAATCTTCCAGCATCAGGTCCTTTGCTGGGAGAGGGACTGTTTTCAGCATAACTTTGACGTTTGAGAATGACGAAGGGCTGGTATCTAGCTTACCCCTCAAAAGGTGACATCCCTTAAAGAGAGAGAAACATTAACTCACAGAAAAGTCACTTTACCATGGACAAAGCCAGAGGGCCCTTTGGATTATTACTGAAGAACAGTTCATATGAACTGTAAAACTGGACAATTCCTTAGCAACAGTTTTCAGGGCCACAACAGACATTAGGATATTTAACAACTTGAGGTATCCTTTGGACAGTTAGAATTGGATTGTAGAGCCCAACTCAAGTTGGAACATATATACCACTCAGGTCCGTGAATTGCAAAAAACATAGCTAAAGAAACCAAAATAGGTGAAGCTTACTGACAGTTTTAATAGAGAGAGTGCCCTCTATCTTCCTGACCAGAATATCTTTGAAGAAGATACTAACTGCTAGTGTAATGATGGATGACTTTGTGAAAGCAGCCACAGGATCAACTCTAAGGAGATATGAGCCAGGTCTCACACATCACCTGGAAAACTGCAAGTGTTTATTCATAGGTTTAGGAAGGGCTATTTTACTCTCAAGGATCCCAGCATGAGTTTAAAAAAAATAAAAGAAAAGAAACAGACCAGGAGTGTCTCTTTCTGAATAATTCAGAAAAAGAAGCGAGGATTGTCCTTTTTCAGAGGTTGAATCTTAACCATCTGGCTATATATTTCATAAGCAGGGACCATTTGTCTGACAAACTGTCTTAAAGAAATCAGGTACAGAACCTGAGGCAGGAATTAGAACCTCTCCCTTCTCCCTGTCCATATCAATGATGGGAAGGGGTAGGACTACAGACAGCGATTTTTACTTACCTTACAACAAACGGATCACTGGAAAATGGGTCTGTGCTCCTACTTCTACTCCTGAATACAGGGTACAGCTCAAGGTTGAAACACAATGGAAACTCAGGCTCTAAAGCACTTAAGCTGCTTTTGAAAAATGAGACTTTGGCCATTTTGTAAATTTTATCTTTTATCTTAAACATTTTGTTAATATAGATTGAAGTAGCAAGTTCTCTCTTTAAAAAAAAAAAAGAACCTTTTGTTCAATATTTAACAGCATTTTATATTAAAATGTAATAAATGCCTATAAAAGGTCAAATGTTTAAGCCAAGCATATGAAATTTCAAGAAGTATACTAGTCCTTTTGAGCTACATTTAGTATTATACTGCCATTTAGCTAACAAGTTGATGTAATACCAACGTGCATTATAAATAAAGAAGCATACTGAACTTCCAATTATAGTATCTCTCTTCCTCTGAATTGTACATTTTGGGGCCTATTATGATAGTTTTCTCAGCAAGTAACAGAATGAGCTACAACTAATGCTCCTAAAACATTTACATACCCTATAACTGTCTTTTCTGCTTTTAGGGCTATTGTCCCTTCTCTTACCAAAGAGGATGAATACTCATTAAGACTCCAATGGGTGAGAAAGTAAGCTTACTTACTACTAAATAGAGTTTGACAACATAGCATCTGCACATTCACACCTTTAGGATGTGCCCAGTCTTATCTGCAGAGCTTTGGGACCTTTTAGGGTATGTCTACATTGCAATTAAAAACCTGTGGCTGGCCCATGCCAGCTGACTTGGGCTTATGGGGCTTGGGCTCAGGGCTGATTAATTGTGGTGCAGACACTGGGGCTCGGGCTGGAGCTCGGGCTTTAGTATCCTGTGAGAGTCCATCTACACCGTAATTAAACAATCCCACAACTGCAGCTCTGTGAGCCCGCGTCAACTGGCCAGCTGTGGGCTTCTAACTGCAGCGTAGACATACCCATAGAAATCCAGTTTTTTTTTTTTTCCTCCTTTTCTTAAAATGGTTTGAATTATAAGAATTATAGGTTTGTTGTTTAGGAATTTACTGTTACTTTTAGCATTAGTGCCCTACTGCACACTTAAGAGTCCCAGGTTAGTGCTGGCTTACCGTAAGTTTTCAAAGCTGGGCTGCAGCCTAAAAGTTTGAAAATGCAGAGACCATCTCAAAGAATAAAAAGTTTATGCTACGGCTGCTGCTCCTTGGCAATTCATTTAGTCTGCTAGTGAGTTCCTAGCTTCCCTAGCAAAAACTCTTCTGCTACTGAATAATTAATCACCAGCTAAATAAAAGGCTTCCATTACCTGCCTCATAACTTTAATATCTCAAAAGTACTACTGCATACTAGGTTAAGTCAACATTCTTACCTCAGCAATACTGGCATTAAGAAACAAAAATGTTTATTATGTCCAAGTATCAATGCTCTAGTGGCACACAATCACATTTTCATCTATTTTAATAATATTTATGCAAGGGGTCATGTACACCGGAGCCAGCAAGGGAATGCTGCCCAGAAAGGACACATTTAGAATTTATAGCATCACACTATGCTCAGTCTAATGTACATCATAAAGGACATGAGTGTGGAGAGAAGGGACAGGTGTTTCCTATAACTGAGGATAAATTGTGAGTCCATGGCTACAAACAGGAAATCAAGTCAATTGTGGGGCTCTCTTTTTCCTACTGCAAAACCAAAACTGAAAAGAAAATAAATTGATGTAGCTGGAAACTGTGTGGCTGTTTTCTAAAAAACTTATTTTTAGGTTTCAGCCCTTGAAAATATTTATCCTTTTCTTCATTAAATTCATTGTCATTCTGTTTTACTCAGGTCACTATAGCACCCCCATCACCGTGGTATCCAAGCACTTTCCAGCAATGCACTAAGTGACATGAGTAGCACCTTCAAGTGTAAAGCAACAGAGTCCTGTGGCACCTTAAAGACTAACAGATGTATTGGAGCATAAGCTTTTGTGGGTGAATATGCATCTGACGAAGTGGGTATTCACCCACGAAAGCTTATGCTCCAATACATCTGTTAGTCTTTAAGGTGCCACAGGACTCTCTGTTGCTTTTTACAGATCCAGACTAACACGGCTACCCCTCTGATACCTTCAAGTGTATTTCCTTCTCCACTTGTCTTGCTAGGTGGGAAATTGCACATGGATAAAAAAAAATTTGTGCCATGCATTTTTATTTATGAAGGGCAAGGTCAAAGAAATGTGCCTCATGCATGCATAAGTCAATTTAAGGAAAGGGTTAAACAAATCATTTCTGTAAAGTGAAAAAAAGGTTCACTGAAGTAACTTTCCCTTGAGTTACTTCATCCTGCTCCATATTCAGGAGTCAAAACTAACATCTTTAGAAGCACAAGGTATAAGGAACAAATACATACCTATCGGTCCATGGCAAGAGGTGCCTCAGGGGAAGTGTTAGTTTAAATTACCTCCACAAGAAATGCTGAAGGTTGGCAGAGAAGTTATTTTTGGAGATAGATAAAGAATAATGTAAAGATTTTTGTTTGTTTTATAGTGATCAAGTCAAGAACTTAAAGTGCCTGCACTGTAGTAGCGATTCTGTATGTTAATCACACCTGACCTAATGCACCATTTGAGTGTAAGTCAGTTGCTTCAGTATGGACTGGTTTCAGTGCTATATTTTTTTTTCTTCAAGGAGGTGAGAGGACCAGTGCATTAATTCAGGGAACCACACAGTGTAAAATATTGATTTCATTCTTCACAGAACTTTCACAAAGAAAGAATAAGCTGCTTTCAAAACAATGAATAATAATTTGGAAAAACGAGACCAAGGAACCTGCCTCTCAACCTCTTGATCGATATTTCCTTCAACTATGACCTAAATAGACTGAATTTTTAAACAAAAAAATAGTTGCTTTGGGTCAAACATTAAATTGTTAGTCTTATCAAAAACCTTTTAACTCTGTTTTTGCCACATTAGAATTTTTCAACTAAGCTAAAAATACTTAGTTTCATAACTATACACATGATTTATTTTCCTGTTAGGAGCTTGAAACAAAGATACAGGCCATTTTAATTCAATGTCCTTGCTTTCTCCTCAGTGATAGGCAAGTGGTAAAATTTACTTCAAACAAAATTGTAGTGATCAAAAAAAGATAAGAAAGGAACTGTCACAGAAATGGAGCAGTACACATTTATTGGAAAGGGGGTGAAACAAATGAACCTTTGACCAGAAAAAAAATCACTTCTCGCCAAATAGAGATTCATATTAATTATCTCCAAGAAAGAGTGAAAAGATTAAGGTTTACAGAAACTAAAATATTTAAAACTAACCTGCAGACCACACAGTAATCTTGCAACAATGATATCTATTGGGAGGGGACAGGTTGAAGGTCAAAGAGATTGTATTAATATAGATACTGAGAGTAGGAGAGTATTTACTGATCATAATCCATTATGTTTGCTACTTTGCTGATGTGGAAGATTCACAACTGGTGACAACAGATCCTCAGATAATACTTAAATAGTTCCTTTTGCCTCTAACTTTTCATGCATTCTTGAGTACTGTGTTATCTTGAAGGGTGAAAATCACATTAGATGTTCAGATCAGTTTACAAGAGAGTATTAATGAATAGTTTAATTGATAAAAAAGATACATACTGAAAGAAATGTCTCAATGTTCTCATGAACAAATGAAGCAATATCCTGCCAGTCCAGAATGTCACCCAGCCAGCTGTTCTGACGATTTATATGCAGCTTGTGTCCTTTGTGTCTTCCAGAATGCGTTACATTCTGAAAAATAAAGCAACAGATTTAAGATAGAAATTAAATCTTAGCAATTTACATAGAAAAGTAAGCTACTGGGACTTGATTTAGAGAGTGCATGTCCACTATGTGGCTTAGATCTATTTTCATTTGCACAAGAACTGCACTTTCACAAATATTTAAGTTTTTATATATTCGTTTCCCCTTATTAGCTGTTAAACATGTACCTTGAAAATCTAACCCAGAATGCTTTTTAATAATTAAAATTAAAATAATCTGTTACATAAGTTTAGGAGGAACAGAGTTCCTCCTATGTGGAAAATGGGTTTAATTGGACTGATTCTCAGCAGCTTGGCGAGACCGTCCTTTCCCCTGGAGTGCAATTCTTGTACTCCAGAATCTAAGCTTTCATCTAAAAACTGTATCAAGTCTCCAGCCCACGTGGTTGAGAAGAAAATCTTCATAAGAACATAAGAATGGCCATACTGGGTCAGATCAAAGGTCCATCCAGCCCAGTATCCTGTCTACCGACAGTGACAAATGCCAGGTGTCCCAGAGGGAGTGAACCTAACAGGTAATGATCAAGTGATCTCTCTCCTGCCATCCATCTCCACTCTCTGACAAACAGAGGCTAGGGACACCATTCCTTACCCATTCTGGCGAATAGCCATTAATGGACTTAACCTCCATGAATTTATCTAGTTCTCTTTTAAACCTGGTTATAGTCCTAGCCTTCACAACCTCCTCAGGCAAGGAGTTCCACACGTTGACTGTGCGCTGTGTGAAGAAGAACTTCCTTTTATTAGTTTTAAACCTGCGGCCCATTAATTTCATTTGGTGGCCCCTAGTTCTTATGTTATGGGAACAAGTAAATAACTTTTCCTTATTCACTTTCTCCACACCACTCATGATTTTATACACCTCTATCATATCCCCCCTTAGTCTCTTTTCCAAACTCAAAAGTCCTAGCCTCTTTAATCTCTCCTCAGATGGGACCTGTTCCAAACCCCTAATCATTTTAGTTGCCCTTCTCTGAACTTTTTCTAATGCGAGTACACCTCTACCCCGATATAACGCGACCCGATATAACATGAATTCAGATACAACGCGGTAAAGCAGTGCTCCGGGGGGGCGGGGCTGCGCACTCCGGCAGATCAAAGCACGTTCAATATAACGCAGTTTCACCTATAATGAGGTAAGATTTTTTGGCTCCCGAGGACAGCGTTATATCGGGGTAGAGGTGTATATCTTTGAGATGAGGAAACCACATTCAAAACGTGAAGTAACTGACTGAAAACAGTAATATTTTCCAGAGGACAACCTCAAATAATTTGAGAAGTGTGAACTACACCCACTTATCTCAACCAGATGTTATCTGTTAAAGCCTAGGTAGGATTCATTTTAGCTATTTTCTTGCTTGCTATGTTGCACGTGAATACCTACACAATTTAATGCAAGCAGCATACTATTTTTTCCAATATAACCCTGGTGGAAAATGCAAGTGCAAGCTTAAATAATTGACCATTCCTCCCGCCTTAGTTGGCATGCCTTAGTTTGCATGCCTTAGTTTGGTTATGCAATAAGTTTGCATGCCTTAGTTTGGTTATGCAATAGATTCTAGGGCAATGGTTTTCAAACTTTTTCTGGCGACCCAGCTGAAGAAAATTGTTGATGCCCATGCCCCAATGGAGCTGGGGATGAGGGGTTTGGGAGTGTGGGAAGGCTCAGGCACAGAGTTAGGGTGCGGGGGTGAGGGCTGCGGCTGGGAATGAGGAGTTCGGGGTGTAGGAGGGGGCTCTGGGTTTCAGGGGGGCTCAGAGGATTCGGGCGTGGGCTTACCTCCGGCGGGTCCCGGTCAGCAGCGCAGCCAGGGTGCAGAGGCAGGCTTCACACCTGCTCTGGCACCGCAGACCGTGCCACGCCCCGGAAGTGGCCAGCAGCAGGTCCATCTCCTAGGCAGAGGCATGCAAATGGCTCTGCATGGCTCTTGCCCGCAGGCACCGCCTCCCCAGCTCCCATTGCCCAGTTCCCGGCCAATGGGAGTGCGGAGCCGGTGCTCGGGCAGCGCGTGGAGCCCCGTGCGCCCCCCTTCCCCCACCTAGGAGCCAGACCTGCTGCTGGCTGCTTCTGGGGTGCAGCGCAGTGTCGGAACAGGTAGGGACTAGCCTGCCTTAGCCAGGCAGCACCGCCGATGGGACTTTTAATGCCCCGGTCGGCGGTGCTGACCAGAGCCGCCACGACCCTTACATTCTGCCACCTAGTACTGGGTCGCGACCCACAGTTTGGAAAAAAAAAAAAATCCACTGTTCTAGGGCATGCAGGGACTGATCCAATGACTGCTGAAATCAGTTGAGTGCTTCCCATAGCCTTTTGATGGTACTGAACTGGATCTTCAATTACCATTACTTCACAAAAATTAACTGTACACATTGCAAATAGCGCATACTGCATTTTGCACGCCCAAATCCAATACAAATATTTGAAAATGCTGCTATTTATACAATTTGTATACTTGTGTGCACAAATTTAGCAATTCCAGGGTATATAGTTTGATATACATAATATTTATGGTATTAAGACCAAAGGAAACAGGTTCTGTAAGCAGTAGCTAGATGAATTCCTTACAGAAATTTTAATCCAGTTATGGAACTGCGTAATGTTAGGAACCTATGAATTGCCCTACTGGGTCACATCTGAGGTCTATCTAGTCTAGTATCCTGTCTCTGACAGTGGCCAGCACTTTCAGAGGAAGATGCAAGCACCCTGAATAGGACAATCAGCCTGCTATACTTAGTGTCATCTTAATCTAACAATTAGAGGCCACATTAAAACCTTCATCTAAATGTTCAATCCCTTTTTGAATCTTGCCAGGTTCTTGGCCTCAACGACATTCTGTGACAATGAGTTCAGTCTAATTACATGCGTGAAGTAGTATTTCCTTTTACTGGTTTTGAATTTACCACCTTTCACTGAATGTTTTCTTGTTGTTTGAGACAGACAGGGAGCCTCTGCCCCCTACTTTCTCTATACCACTTATTTTTTAACATGTCACCTCTTATTTATCTCCATTTTAAGGCGAACAATCCCAATCTTCTCAATCTGTTTTCATACAAGCTTTTCAATCATTTATATTGACCTTCTCTGAACCCCCTCCAACCTTTTTTGATATGTAGTGACCACAAGTATTACAAGTGAAGCGTCAGCACTGATTCATATAATGGTATAATAATATTTTCTGTTATGTTTCCAATCCAGTAGCTTCAGTTTCCTAATATCTTATTTGCTTTTTGACTGTAGATGTACACGAAGCAGAGGTCTTCCTTGAACTGTTCACAGTTACACACGGGTCTCTTTCTTGAGTTGATACAATTAATTTAGAGCCCTGGAATATGTATGAGTAGTTTAATTTTTGTAATAATGTGCATTAATTTACTTTTACTAAAAAAATCACTTTGCCATCTTGTTGCCCTTTCACCTAATTTGGTTAGGTCTCTGAAATTCTTGAGAGTCCTCTCTGATCTTGACTAATCAAATTTTGCTATCTCCCTGCTCACCCACCATACCAAATCACGAAGTGTAGCGATGCAGTAGCAACATTATAGTTAAGGTTGCATCACAATATCTGTTTAAAGGTCAAGCTTTCTAAATCCTCTAAAATGGACATGCTTAGTCAGATTCCATGAAGCCACTGTCATCTGTTGATGACACCCTTTAACCCCTTCCAGCATAACAATATCCCTGCCCATTCTCTCAGTAGCAAATAACATGTTGATGCCCTGAATGACTTATCTTCCAGACAGAAGAGAAATAATGGGGGAAGGGTGTGGAATGGAAGTGAAGAGGGGGTTATGGAGACATGCACACAAAACTCCTGGCATGGGGGAGATTGGAGGAATGGGATACACACAGAACCCCTGCGATGGTGATATACAAGGTACCATTAATGGGGGAGGGAAGAGAGATTGAGAGGGAAGAGAGATTGAGAGCAGAAATAGGGGAGCACACAGTATCCCTGCCACAGAGGGAGAATGGAGATGAACAAAGAACAACTAGTAGGGGGATATTTGGGATAGGAATAGGGTGCATACAGAGCCCTTGGCACTGGGGAGAATGAGGGATCCTGGTAAGAGAAAAGGGAAGAACAGAGGGCCACAGAAACCCGATGGGGGAGATTGGGGCACTGGCAAGGAGTCCCTGAAGCAGAGGAGGATGGCACACAGAAAGCTTGTGGGGTGCAACAGAAGAATGCAAGGAGCCTTACTGCAAGCAATAAGCTCAGTGAACATACATTATGAAATGTGTAGCCCCCGAGTAATATTGTGATCCCAGGTATTAGTAAATGCAAGCCTTACTGCTCTTTAACAATTTGGATCATCCCTAGAGTCCCTTTAAAAATGTATGTACATTTGTTACCCTCCAATCCTCTGAAGCACTAGCTGTTTTTAATGAAAGATTGCATATTTTTGTATACCATTTTATACTTAAGCTCCTTCAGAATACTTGGATGTACGCCATGTGGGACTGGTGACTTACTGCTCTTTGAATCAATAATTTGTTCCTGTATCTCTTCTTATGGCACTTCAGTTACTAATAGTGCTTTATCTTTTTTACCAGATGAGCAGATACAGAATAGGTATCCCTAACATCCCCTGTATTGAAGAGTGATGCAAAGAAATCACTTAGGAGTAGAAGGACATTGCTTAAAAACTGCTTCCTTTAACCTCTGGTGATCCAGTCAACCCACTGATTCTCCCACAGGCTTTCTATTTCTGATCTGATTAGAGAATATCTTGTTTAATTTTTACTCTTTTAGCTCTTGGTTCTTCAAAATCCACTTTGGCCCTTACTGCCCTCTCATATATTACTTGCTGTAATTTATGCTCCCGTTTATTGACTTCACTGGATTACTGTTTGGCTCAAATCATCTCTTGAATCTTGCTATTTATCCAAATTGGTTTATTTCTTGCCTTCCTGGTTGGTTCCCTTTCTACGTGAGCAGTATGCATATCTTCTGAAACTCATGTACTGATTTTTTTTTTTTAAAGTAGCATTATGATGTGGAGCCAGTGAGGGTTAAGCAATCAGCAAGCTGGCTGACCTGAAAGCAACCCTAAGGACATATTAGAAGAGTACTGAAATGGTAAACAGGGCCATTCCTTGTAGATAATTATCAAAGCCATGTTAAGTACTAGAATCTGGACACTTAGGTCTGTATTGTTAGAGAATTAAGAATAGATACTAATTAGATTTGTTTGTGTTTACCTATTGTCACACTGCACCTCAAAGTAGCACCCTGGAACCCCCCATATTCACCACTGTCACATAATTGATATGTTTTGTACAAAGTACGTCTTGTGAGGTATCATTTGGTAAGTCTTGATTTGTTGACCAATATCCTGTTGGATTGTATGTAAAATTATGAGGTGTATATATGTTAGTGAAATATGTTGTGAGGTTGGAAACACCCACAACCAGCCTTTCAGTTACAATAAAGGAGTAGCCATCAATAGCCAGTCGTTAATAGCCCAAACACACAACCCACTATCACAGAGGTGGAGGAGACAATGTACACAATAGAGACTGCTTGACCAATGGGGACTGCCTGACCCTCCCCCCCGCAATGTCACAGCAAGGATCTTTCTAGCAGCTGGAAGAAGGTATATAAAAAAAAAAGAGAGACATTGGCATCATCACTTAGCTTCTCTTCCCCCTCATCTCAACACCTGGAAGCATATGTGAAAGACAAAAATTTTGAACTGGAGAAGTTTGGTCTCAGGCTGGAATGAAGTGCCAGCCTGTGTATTGAGGAACTGTAACCTGCTAGTACCATCTGTCAGAGTGAGAAACACGGTTTGATTCAACTCTTGCTTAGACTTACAGTTTAGGATTTAGAATGCATGTTTACTTTTTATTTTCATAAGGTAACTATCTGTGACCTTTATGCCTACCACTTATCACTTAAAATTTCTCTAGTTAATCTGTTTTATATTTTACCTAACACAGTGTGTTTTGGTTGAAGTGCTTGAGAAATCTCATCTCAGTTTACAAAGGCTAGTGTGTGTCCACTACACATTGAGGGAGTAGCAAACTACTTAATGAACTTGCACTGCCCAAGGGAGCCTTGAGCAGTGTAAGACGACAGTTCTGGAGTGTAGGGCTGGAGCTGGGGGGAAACTGGCTGAAGCCTCTCTATTGTTGGCTCATGAGTGGCTGAGACATCATTAATGTAACTCAGTTGGGTGTGTTACCTATTCTTCATCCAAGAAATGCCTGTGGTGATCATTTGCTACCAAGAGGCTTATCCACTGAACTTAAGCTATAATTTAAATAAAGTTTCGGGCCTGATCCTTGCTATCTCAGATCTGCTTAAACTTTGACAGGGAAAGTCTAAGCCTGTAAGACTGAGGTCTCCAGGTCTACTCTGGATTAACCTTGCAATTTCTCATAGTAGAGTCTGAACAAACTCTGCACAGACTGCCTATTGGACTATAACGGGGGTGGGCAAACTACGGCCCACGAGCCACATCTGGCCCATCAGACCTTTTAATCTGGCCCTTGAGCTCCCGCCGGGGAGCAGGAACAGGGGCTTGCCCTGCTCCGCACGTGCATTGGGTCCGCGCAGCTCCCGGAAGCAGTGGCAAGTCCACCCTACGGATCCTACCCATAGAGGCAGCCAGGGGGCACTGTACGTTGCCCCTGCCCCAAGCGATGGCTCTGCAGCTCCCATTGGCCAGGAACCATGGCCAACGGGAGCTGCAGGGATGGCACCTGTGGACGGGGCAGCGTGCAGAGCCGTCTGGTTGGCGCCGCACTTCCACGTAGGAGCTGGAGGGGGGACATGCCCCTGCTTCCAGGAGCTGCTTGAGGTAAACGCCACCCGGAGCCTGCATCCCTGACCTCCTCCCATGCCCTAACCCCCTGCCCCAGCCCTGATCCCCCTCCCACCCTCTGAACCCCTCGGTCCCAGCCCAGAGCACCCTCCTGCACCCCAAAGCCCTCATCCCCAGCCCCACACCAGAGCCCTCACCCCCCCTCAACTCCCTGCCCCAGCCTGGAGCCCCCTCCCACAACCTGAACTCCTCATTTCTGGCCACACCCTGGAACCCATACCCCCAGCCCAAAGCCCATCCCCCTCGCACACCCCAATCCTCTGCCCCAATCCCCCTCCCACCCTCCAAACCCCTGGGTCCCAGCCCAGAGCACCCTCCCACACCCTGAACTCCTCATTCCTGGCCCCACCCTAGAGCCCTCACCCCCAGCCAGAGCCCTCACCCCCTCCTGCACTCCAACCCCCCAATATCGTGAGCATTCACAGTCCGCCATACCCAGATGTGGCCCTCAAGCCAAAATGTTGGCCCACCCCTGGACTATAACCTTTTAAATTAATTCCAGAAGTATTTTACAAATCAGCAGCCTCACCATCTCTGCCATGAAACTGACCTAAGAACTTTATTCACATCTGTATGTATAATTATCTTTCTTTTATTTTTTTTATTAATAAATCTTAGATTTAGTTAAGAATTGGCTGTAAGTGCGTATTTGGGTGAGAGCTGAAATATTCACTTACATGGTAGGTAATGTGTCCGATCTCTTGGGATTGGTAGAACTTTATACATCATGAATAAGGTTCTTAGGCTTGGCTCTCTGGATGGGAGCCAAAAGATGGATTGCTTAAAGGGAATTGTATTTTGGCTTCTTGGTAACCAATAAGGTATTAAGGAAGCGGTTTGGTTACTAGCTTGGTGAAATCTAATTTACTCCTGAGGGCATTCTATGCCAAAAAATTAAAAATCCTGCAAGTTTTGTTTGTCAATAAATAAATGCAGAGGCTGCAGCATGGCAGTGGGGAGCACAGGCCACTGGCTGCAGGAAGGTGGGAGATCACCCTATACCCCCCCCCCCACTCCTGGGACGCAGACTCAGCGGTCAGGCTGCACCTGACCCTGACACAGCACAAGGCCTGGGCCTGCCCCAGAAACACCCTGGGGCCCTGCCCCTCTGCGCCAGGTGTATCAGGTGTGGGGCAGGTAGGCTCAACCAGGCAAGATCCAAGTGTGGAGGGTCTCAGTGGGGGGGGGGGGGGATCTGGATGCACAGAGGCTCGTTGTGTGTGGGGGGGTTCCCAATTGCAGGGGCAATGGGACTCTGCAGGGGCTCCAGGAGAAGGTGGTTGGGGCTCAGCGAGGAAGTCTGGGTACTGGGGCAGTGGGGGTCTGGGTGCAGCTAGGTGGGGGGGTCAAGTGGTATGGGGGTCTGGATGTGGAGGCTCAGGGTGGTGCAGGAGGTGGGGCATCAGAGTGGGGTTTGAGTGCAGGGAGTTCAGTGGGGGGTGGTCTGGGGGTGGGGGTCCGGAGGCATGAGATCTGGGTCCCAGGGGGCTCCAGACACGGGGGTTGAGGTTCAGTGGGGTTAGGGTATGAAGAGCTAGGGGGGTTCTGGATGTACCGGGTGAGGCTTGGCAGGGAGCTCAAGATGCAGTGGTTGGGTGGATGGGGGAGCAGCTCCCTGTACAGTGACCCCTCCCCACACAGCTGAGGAGTGATGGGGGCAGGAAGCAGGGGAGGATGCTGAGCTTCCTGCAGCTGGGGGAGGTTTTTGGGGGTGGGTCTGACACAGCCCCAGCCACTCCTAGCAGGGGAAGAGGAAGTCCCATCCTCTCCTGCCTCCAGCCTAGCCGGGACTAGCAGCTGATCCCAGCTCAGGGTAGGCGCCACTGGCTGAAGTGTCCCCAGCCCTATGGTGATTTACCTCTCCACCGGCTGCTCTGGGTGCCTGAAACGATGTACCTGAGCTGCTAGGGAGTGGTGTGTGACTGCTCTTGCAGCTTCCCTTTGCTTCCCTGTCAGAAAGTCATTTTTTGGCAGGGAAGCAAGAAAATCTGCAGGGTACATGAATTCTGCACACATGCAGTGATGCAGAATTCCCCCAAGAGTATCTAATTATAGAATAAACCACCAGTTTTGGGGGATTGTCTGCCCTATTCTTTGCAAATTTCCCCAATTGAGCATTCTCAGTATAGCCCCTCCAGCGACCACAGTCACAAGCATCCATACCAGTTTCCACCTCTAAAAGGACTTCACTTCCTTTACTTTTGATTTTAGGACTTTTTTTTTTACAAGCCTTCTCATTTTACTGAAGTCTCCCCTCTCTCATGTTTAGAGCATCTTACTTGCTGGTACCTTACTTACACAGCCATATTACCTCTCACTACATCACCTTGTCAAGAAAAGTAGCCTTGATTTTCTTTTTCATTTTGACAGTTACACTAAGATAATAATGTTACCAGAAATACAGAGAGCTTCTTGGTAAGTTACAAACATTTTAAGGGTGTTTTGTTATAAATAAAAGGTTCTTGACAATGGAGTCTCATAGAACACAGAGTGAACTTAATTTCATGTACAATCAATACTGTTTTTACTTAAAACAAAGTAAGGAAAGTAAAGAAAAACCATTAGACAATGTTATGATTTTTTGTCTGTTTAAATTACACACATTTAAAAAATTAAATTCCTAACTTAGTAAAATTGCTCTTAATTTTGTTCTCTAGAGCCTCCCATAATATGAATGCTAACACATACTTTGAATCTGAATTGTTTAAGAAACACAGTGAAAATACACTAAGCTAAAACTGCATTTTCACAAATTCAAATGAATATTTAATTCTGAAGTTGCACAAACATACTTACACATAGCTTTCCTTTTACTTCCAAGGAATAAATATTCAGTGCAAAGGTCTGACATACTAAAACACACACATATACTAAGCATACATTAAATAGCACATATAAAGATGCATGTAACTACGTATATGCAAAGGGGTAGAATTCTGGATGAACTGGAAACCTAATTCTAGAGTGACCTGACTTGTGCATTTGAAGTCTTAACTAACACTTCATTAATTTCTTTCACTAAACATTACAAGCTTTTAAAAACCTCTTTTTTAGAAAGTATGTTTTTAAAATTTATCTAGAATCAGTAAAAAATAAAAAAAGTGATACGTATAATAGGTATCAGTTACTCACCTTCACAAACCAAGAGTGATAAAGTCTGTCCCAGAGCTCTAGCACTTGCTTTTCAATCACAGCAGTGTTGTTCACTTTCTCTCCTAATATCTTATGGAGCTATAATATACAGAAATTGTGTTTATTATGTAAAACAACTTGAAACTAGCAGCTATGGCTGAGCTCAAAGGCAGAACATCTACATTAGATTTTCACTGAAGGCTTGGCTCAGGTCCAAAAAATATCAAAAAAGTCAGTGTCTACAGGTATACAATATGCATTTCAGAAACTGTGGCTGACAGCACATAACATCTTACCTGAAACAAGCAATTTTGCCACATTAAATGGAAACAGAGATGAGACTCCTCCCCAATGAAACACTAAGCACAAAGATCTGTCAGATCCTTGTATACAGTAAATATACCCAAAGAGATTTGAGAGGTGTGCTAGATGTCAAAATGCTTATGTGAGGACAATGTAAGATCCTGCCATCCTCCCAAGGAACACTGAACTCCCAATCTACAATGTACTCTGTACTTTAGAGGATGGAACTTCAGAAGATCATAGGTTGACTAAAAATGGTCATTTTCAGGACAGTGCATTCTACCATCTGAAAAATGCTTAACTAAGGGCAATTTCTGAAACAAATTACATTTTCTACAGAGTATTCACATGGATAGTCACAAGGGAGATGGACAGATACTTCTATTTTCAAGCTCTTAAAAGCACTTTCCAGCAGCCACGGGGAGCAAGACTATTAAAATCATTCCCAAATATAGGCTTTACTCTGCTAAACAGCAGATTAGAATGAATAAATCTTCAGCAAAACAACATTTAAAAGGTAACTAAAGCAACCCAAGAGATACCATTTGACATTACAAGAAGGAAAAAATGTACAGATCATTCCCTTATTTTGGGAAAGAAAAAAGCAAAACACTAAAACTAATAAAAAAATATTAAGAAGGTGTTCTTACCTTATGTGTAATCCATTCTCGGCCATACTGATACACATTATTAGCAGCCGAATTGAGAGCTTTTTGAATGACCTGAGCTTCCGGGAGCCAGCTGATATTTTTAAGGAAGGAAAGTATAAATAAAATTATCTCCAATACTTCTGAACCATTTCATTACAGTGCCTGAAACTCTAAAAGTAACAAAAGGTTTCCAACCAACTAACAGCACCTATAGTTTAAATATGTACCAACTAACACCTTTGTTAAAACTAGACTACTTCCTCTTTCAATGACAGGATGAAGACTTTTTAACATACAAAGCGTAACTCAGCAAGTAGGATACAGATTACTACATTTACATTTCACTCTAAGGCTGATTAGGAAAAGTTCTTGAAACTTACTAAATTTAACTTTAGAGATCTTGTCCATCTGTATGTATGCTATAATTGGTTAGCCACTTGTGGGGTTCTTAGAGCTGCTGCTTTGTTAGAAATATAATTTGGAAACCTTATCTTTCAAGTTCGTATAGTTGCAAAGATAACCTTCTGAATATGAATGGACTGTAAACTGATAGAGTGTGGTCTTCCTGAACCTACAGACAGCCTAGAAATACAGAGCGATGTAAATCACCCAATGCTCAAATCCTATTCCCAGTCAAGATGTGTGCTGGGGAAGAATCTTCCCTTTCCCACCCTCAGGTCACTCTGAAGGAACGGAGCCACTCTATGGGCATCTATACAGCAATTAAACACCCGCAGCTAGCCTCCGTCTGCTGTCAAATTGCTGTGCAGGCATTGAGGCTCAGGCTGGAGCCCAGGCTCCAGTCAGAGCCCAAAGTATCTACACACAATTTTTAGCCCTGCGAGCCCCTAGTCAGCTGACCAGGGCCAGCCATGGCCATGCAGCAGGGCTTTTATTCCAGTGTAGACATGCCCCCTGTGGCCAGTATTCAAGCCTCAGTGCACCAGGGATATGTATCTCCTACATCAGCTCCACAAATCTTGCCCCATTAGTGCAAGAACAGAACCACACAGTTCTCCATAGATGCTGGGAGGAGAAGTGTTTGGGCCAAAAAGAGGTGTGAATTGCCTTCATTCATCTCAATGAGCTATTAACTGTGATGTTTCGGTCAGTCAGAGTTTGACCCCTCAAAAATCCCATATATCTGAAGCTTCCAAGAAATTTTAACTGTCTCTCTCTTGCCCAATTTGAAACTTATGTACACTTCAAGCTCTAAAAGCAAGTAGGATAAGTCTTTTGGTAAGAGCCTGCTGGATAATTTGACAAGGCTTCAATCTATTTGTATTAAACTTTGAAATCACGTAAAATGCGATCTTCTACTCAAAAAAAAAATCCTGATAAACAAGTACTCCGATTGAAACTAGTGATTCTACTATTTTTCAAACATTTTTATTCCTTGAGTAATCTAGTTGGTCACAACAACTGCCAGTTTTTATTAGTCTTATTTTTGTCACATTTCTACTAGGGCTGTTGATTAATTGCAGTTAACTCACACGATTAACTCAAAAATTAATACAGTTTTAATCGCACTGTTAAATAATAGAATAATAAATTTAATTTGGCAAATATTTTGGATGTTTTTCTACATTTTCATATATATAAATTTCAATACAGCATACAATACAAAGTGTGTATTATTTTTATTACAAATATTTGCACTGTAAAAATGATAAACAAAAGAAAAGTATTTTACAATTCATCTCATACAAGTACTGCAGTGCAATCTTTGTCGTGAAAGTGCAACTTACAAATATTAGATTTTTTTTGTTACATAACTGCACTTAAAAACAAAACAATATAAAACTTTAGAGCCTACAAGTCCACTCAGTCCTTACTTCTTGTTCAGCCAATTGCTAAGAGAAACAAGTTTGTTTACATTTACAGGATATAATGCTGCCCTCTTCTTATTTACAATGTCACCAGAAAGTGAGAACAGGCATTCACATGGCACTTTTGTAGCCGACATTGCAAGGTATTTACGTGCCAGATATGCTAAACATTCATATGCCCCTTCATGCTTTGGCCACCATTCCGGAGGAAATGCTTCCATGATGATGATGCTCGTTAAAAAAAATAATGCGTTAATTAAATTTTTACTGAACTCCTTGGGGGAGAATAGTATGTCCCCTGCTCTGTTTTACCTGCATTCGGCCATATATTTCATGTTATAGCAGTCTCGGATGATGACCCAGCACATGTTCCTTTTAAGAACACTTTCCCTGCAGATCTGACAAAACACAAAGAAGGTACCAATGTGAGATTTCTACAGATAGCTACAGCACTTGACCCAAGGTTTAAGAATGTGAAGTACTTTCCAAAATCTGAGGGACCAGGAGTGGAGCAGGCTTTCAGAAGTCTTAAAAGAGCAACACTCCGATGTGGTAACTACAGAAGCTGAACCACCAAAAAAGAAAATCAACCTTCTGCTGGTGGCATCTAACTCAGACGATGAAAATGAACATGTGTCGGTCTGCACTGCTTTGGATTGTTGTTATCGAGCAGAACCTGTCATCAGCATGGACGCACGTCCTCTGGAATGGTGGTTGAAGCATGAAAGGACATATGAATCTTTAGCGCATCTGGCACGTAAATATCTTGCGACACTGGCTACAACAGCGCCATGAGAACACCTGTTCTCATTTTCAGGTGACATTGTAAACAAAAAGCGGATAGCATTATCTCCTGCAAATGTAAACAATCTTGTCTGTCTGAGCGATTGGCTGAACAAGAAGTAGGACTGAGTGGACTTGCAGGCTCTAAAATTTTACATTTATTTTTGAATGCAGGTTTTTTGTACATAATTCTACATTTGTAAGTTCAACGTTCATGATAAAGAGATTGCACTACAGTACTTGTATATTAGGTGAATTGAAAAATACTATTTCTTTTGTGTTTTTACAGTGCAAACATTTATCAAAAATAAATATAAAGTGAGCACTGTACACTTTGTATTCTGTGTTGTAATTGAAATCAATATATTTGAAAATGTAGAAAACATCCAAAAATATTTAAATAAATGGTACTCTATTATTTTTTAATCGCATGATTACTCGCGATTAAATTTTTTAATCAGTTGAGAGCCCTAATTTCTACCTTCTTTGCAGAATGCAAGGGCTGAATCACACAATAGCTGCCAACAAGGAGCTTGTTTGTCTAAATGGGGTAATGTGCTATACAGGGGTGTGATTTCTAAATACAGCTGTGTGTTGCAAATTAACTGGTCTATGCAGACCCTGCTGGTGCACTTTAACATACTATGTTAAATAATACTACATTAAAGCGCACTAGGGAACCTTTAGTGCACGACAGCAGGGTCTACACGAGTGATACTTAGACATCAGTGGTTCAGGAGCCAAATTAGTGATCAACATTACTGTGGCTCTTTTGGGTAGTGTGAATACATTAGTTTCATTTACTATAGTACTATATATTCATATTTAAACAGTTTGATGGGGAAAATTTAATTTTATACACATTCTCACCGCAAAATGATTTTATCAACTATAACTGGTTAACAACATATTAACCAATCAGGATGCTTTTACTAATTGAAATTACAGTGTTTTAGTATCATGTGCTGCAAAGAGCCACAGGAGACACATTTAAAGAGCCACTTTTTTGAATATCACTGGTCTATACAAATTGGGGATTAAAAAAAGTCTAACCAACATTCTCTTGTTTAAATCAGCATAAAAGCAAGGGTGAAAAATACCTCTAACTATACGACCTGAAAACCACTCCTCAGATTGATCTTTTCTACCTCTGCTATTCACACAATCCACTGTGAGCACTCCCTTCACACATTGGATTGATTCCCTCCCTCTCCCCTTAACTACCCCTTTTCATCTCTCTCTCTCTCTACTGATTTTCCCTTCGTTTCCCTTCCCTTCCTATTTGTTCTCCTTATCACGCATACGATTCCCTCCAATCTTCCCACTACCTCTCTCACATTTGCATACTTTTCATTTACATGTAGATACATGCTCCACCCTCTTCCACTTATTCTCACTTATAATTCCCCCCAAAAAGGAGTTTTCCAGACCAATTATTTTCCTAATCCATTACAAAAGAGCAATCTTACTATTCCCTCAAGAGAGTTTTCCAGCCAACACCCTATCCTTAAAGGGGCTAGCTCTACCGTCATTCCCTCAATCCTGTAAAGGAGCTTTCCAGTTAATTTTCTGGTCCAGACTATGTGGCTACTGCCCCTTTGCCCTCCTACACTACAGTCTGGGGAGACAAGCTCCTTCAAAACAGCTACCAGGAAGGAAGTTACACAACTCTCTGCCATCACTGGTCCACAATTAAACCACTAGGCTCAGCTCCCATCTGCCCTTTCAGCTCCAGGAGAGATCACTACTCCAAGGGATGGCCTGGAAGGCAGTTTAGCACAGATTTGTGGGAAGGGAAGCAGCAGCGTTCATTCATTCATTTCTTAACACACAGGAGTCTTTTTTTAAAATATAAAAACTGCAGATAAGAGCACCCTGAAACTTGTTTATCTACTCTAATCTCTTAATCTCAGCATTCTTACTTTGCCCACTCTGGGTGATTGGCTACAGTCTCATTGATCAAGCTGCTTGTGACTTGAATCAAGTGAACGCTCTCTTGATGTACCTGAGTTAAATACAGACAAAAGAAAGAATATGAAGTGTTATGTAATACAAACTAGCACCCACCTTAAATTAACAGAACAAGATATTTAAATCTAAATTTTCAAGAGTTATTGGTGATTTCTGGTGCTCAACTTGTGAAAAATCAGGCCCTTAAAATATTTCAAGGCAGAAAGATATTCAGCACTTTTTCCAAAGTGGGGTTCCCTTAAAAAAAATTCTGCGGGGCACATGAATTCTGCACATGAGCAGTGGCTCTGAATTCCCCAGGAGTTAAAAAAAAGTTCACATTAAATGAGTGACCTCTATTGGGAAGAAAAAGTAGCTGCATAGTGAAAATCAGTTTGAGAAAATCTGATCTTGAGAATGTGGTGTCATGAGATCAAAACTGACAGTTACATATGGGCATGTGTACCTACACACCTCACAAATATTTACAAGTGTGAGATGCAGACATTCTTATATAGAAATGTATGCTTCTCCCTTACTTCCACAGATTTATGCTGAAAACTATCTTCAATGTATTTGAATATCATTCTTCCGATAAAACAACTGGTAAATAGTTTCACAATATTAATATTCTACTGCAGTAATTTACACCGGCATAACACTGATGCTAAGGAATCTGAGGTGTTCTCCCTTACTCACTGAAACTGAGCAGCTATAATAGGTTGCAAAATAATTTTAGTACTAGTACTGTAAAATTATCATATGTCTCACAATTCTACTTCACAATTTACTAGGGTAACACTTTGCATATACAAATATTTTTTCTTCATCTATGCATAGTATTAACAGGATAGATTGAAGAACATTTGATTACTAAATATTTTTAAAAAGCATTTCTGCTTTATAGTGGAGCACAAACATCAGAAACATTTTCATTTAAAGAAGGGATTAAAAGAACAACTTTGATTATAATTCTTGGTGCACTGTACCTTTGCCGTAAGGAGAAGGGCTAGCAGAAGGGTTCCTATCACTAGCAAAAATATTATGAAAATGCTAATTATTTTATCAAGCATTTTCTCCAACCACACGATCATCTGTGCAGAAAAAAGAAAAACAAATCATGACCAAAAAAAAAATATGTTTTTTATTCAAGTGATACTGGCCCAGTCTGACAATTCTGGATTTCAACAGGAGTTTTCTTTACACAAAGACTGCAAGATCAGACCCTAAGCAAGTACTATTTACACCTAAGCTTAGATATGAACAATTAACAAGCAATGTTTAGCATGACAACTAAGGAAAATGTTACAATGCAAGTGATTTTGCAAATTAAATTTAAACAATAATGTGAATCACATAGTAAGCTCTCAGCAAAGCAATCAGTAATTTAACATTATTTTGTTATCAGACCCAAAGCTAGCAAGCACTCATTTTAATTCTGAACTTACATTCTGGATTAATTTCTTGTCTTCAAGCAACAGAGAAACTTATGGTCACTATCATCTGCACAAAACTTGGGAAGTTACCAGTGTGGATTATACAACCATAATTTGCAAACTCAGATGGCTGAAGTTAATCACTTAAACATCTAATGAGATATCTACATAAGTGGCCTGATTTTTAATGCTGCTTAGCAGACCTCAAGCCTTACCTGAATTCAGTGCAGATGGCCTGAACACACATGCCACAACTAACCAGTAATCACACCACTTCAGGTTCATGAAGTTTTGTTGGTGTCATTCACAAGGGAAAAATCTTAACTACATGGCTGTGTGGAGAGCACTCTAGAAAAGAGTAAACTGCACTTAATCTAATATTAAAGGGGCCTGATTAAATAAAGATCTCACAACCTCATTGTGGGCAAATCTATTTTTTCCAGCTTTTGTAGCTCAAAAGTCAGAAAAAGCACTCGAGTAAAAAAAACTAGCAGGGGAAATCTAGCTGTGCTCTAAAATTTTACTTTAAAACAAAACTGAGTTCAAAGGCAATATGCAGAAGGTTCAATATTTCCTAATGAGAAATGGCTATACGTTTAGTGGCTGTGCTGATAATTTTAGTTACTATTCTTTTCCTCGGTGTCATGTAATGTCAAAAGTTTAATAGGAGCTCTTTCTCTATTACTGATCCCTATCCCTGCATATGAAGTTGGTTTATTGATCCATTACTTGTTACAGTTTTTAAATCTCTAATTATATCTGGAACATCACTGGGGCATCTGAACACCTAATATACATGAATGATTTTACCCTCAGACTCCACTACAATTAACATCTTGTTTAACACACACTGTCACAAGGTAGATAGTCAGCATTTCAAAGCAACCATTCAGAATACAGTGTGACACTCACTTTAGAGAAGTAATTGTTGAGTTCTGCAAGTTCCTGCATTATACTATGTTCTGCCAAATAGAATCTCAAAGAACCTGCAATACCCAGCAAAAATCTTAGAGAGAACATGGAAATGTTCAGTGTTTGCCACCATACCCTGAAACACTTCAGCAATCACTCAAGTTCTCTCATCAGTAATAGTGGTGAAGTCAACTGCCTGCAGGACAGTTATCTGAACTTCCAACTATTTACTATCTAGGAAACTACAGAAAATCCTGTTTCAATTTTGCCCTTTCAATGTTCATACATTTAGGGATTTTGATGACACAGCGACAGGAAAAAAAAAAAGACAGTTACCTTCTCCGCAACTGGTGTTCTTTGAGATGTGTTACTCATGACCATTCCATATTAGGGGTGTGCACCAATGCCATAAGTTTTGCCCTCAGCAGTATCCATAGGGGACTGGCTCTGTTGCCCCTGGAGCGGCGCGCACATACCATGGTATAAGGGGCACCGCCGGCTCCCTGCACCCTCAGTTCCTTCTTACTGGAACCTCCAACTGGGGAAGGACGGCGGGTCATGAAACAGACATGAGCAACACATCTCGAAAAACACCAGTTACAGAAAAGGTAACTATCTTATCTTAGAGTGCTTGCTCATGTCCATTCCATATTAGGTGACTCCAAAGCAGTACCCCTGGAGGTGGGTAGGAGTTCAAGATCTGTAGATTGCAACACAGCTCTGCTGAACCCAGCGTTGTCCCTAGCCTGCTGAGTGATGGCATAATGAGCAGTGAACATATGGACCTTGTTGCGGCTCTACAGATGTCCTGGATAGGGCTGTGCACCAGGAAGGCCGAAGACACCTGAGCCCTAGTCGAGTGGGTTCTAACAGCTGGCGGCTGCGGAACCCCCGCCAGGTCATAACAGGTCTTTATGCATGGAGGTAATCCAATTGGAAATCCTTTGCGAGGACACTGGCAGGCCCTTCATCCTATCCACTGTAGCAATGAAGAGCTGAATTTGTTTATGGAAAGGCTTCGTATGTGCTGAGTAAACAGCCAAAGCCCTTTGGATGTCCAGCGTGTGAAGATGCCTCTCTTCACTGATCTTGTGCGGTTTGGGACAGAACACCGGGAGAAAGATGTCCTGGCTTATATGGAAGGTGGACAGCCGGGTAGGGCTGTAGCTGAAGCTTGTCTTGGTAGAAGACGGTGTACAGCAGTTCGGAGGTGAAGGCTTTAATTTCAGAGACTCGTTTCACCGACGTCACTGCCACCAGGAACACGACTTTCCATGACAGGTGGAAAAGGGAGCAGGAACACAGCGGCTCAAAAGGGGCCCATAAGCCTAGAGAGGACCAAGTTAACATCCCATTGCAGGACCGGAGTCTGTACCTGCGGGAAGAGTCTCTCGAGCTCTCTCAATAATCTGACTATTATGTCATGGCAAAACACCGTCTGTCCTTGGATCGGCAGGTAAAAAGTGGAGATGGCCACGAGATGCACTCTAATGGAAGAGTGTGACAGGCCCTGGTTCCTCAAATGAAGCAGATAGTCTGGGACAGCCTGTATGGAAGAACACGAGGAGACATGTCACACTCGGATGCCCAGCAGGAAAACCTTGTCCACTTGGCCAGGTAAGTCAGTCTAGTTGAGGGCTTCCTACTTCCCAGAAGAAGCTGTTGGACCTCCTCCAAACAGGTTTGCTCCTCCGTGTTCAGCCACACAGCATCCACACTGAGAAGTAGAAAGACACAAGGTTGGGGTGTAAGAGCCAACTGGTTGGGCAGGGGCCAGGGAAGTGCCGCTGACAGGTTCATGAGCGTACCGAACCAGTGCTGGCAAGGCCATGCTGAAGCGAGATCTCACACACACACACACACACACACACACCCCCCCCAGGGGAAACGTGTACATCAGGCCCCCTGACCATGACAGGAGGAAGGCATCAGAGAGGGAGTCCTTGCTGAGAGCAAAACCGATGACATTTTCTGTTTTGCTTGGTGGCCAACAGTTCCACTTGGGGAGTTCCCCACCTCTGGAAGACCATGTAGGCTATGTCCCGGTGGAGCAACCACTCGTGGTGAGAGGAGAAAGCCCTACTGAGGTGATCCGCTAGCGTGTTCTTGATGCCAGGGAGGCAACAAGCTTCCAGGAGGATCTTGTGTTCAAGGCAAAAGCTCCAGATACGGAGTGCCTCTTGGCAGAGAGCCAACAAGCGTGCTCCCCCTTGCCTGTTGATGTAGAACATTGAAGCTGTGTTGTCCGTCAGGACTCTCACCACTTTGCCCGACAGGTGAGGTAGGAAGATGCCGCACACCAATTGGACCACTTTGAGTTCTTTGACATTTATGTGGAGCATCATCTCCTCTGGGGACCACATATCCTGGGTCTGGAGATCTCCAATGTGTGTACCCCAGCCGAGGCGTCCGACACCAACTTGATGGAGTGAGGTGGGTGATGTCGAATGGAACTCCCTCTAGGACCTTCTCGCGATTGGTTCACCATCACAACGAGGTGAGTATTGTTGGGGGGATAGTCAGAATGTTTTCCAGGTGATCCCTGGACTGGGAATAGGCCATCAGCCATTCCTGCAGGGACCGCACCCGGAGCCTGGCATGGCGGATAATGTATGTGCAGGCTGCCATGTGGCCCAGCAGGCGCAGGCAGACCCTGGCTGTAGTCAGAGGGAACGGGGACACCTCCGTGATGAGGTCTGTCAAGGCCCAAAACCTTTCTAGTGGCAGGATCGCTCTTGCGCAGGTCGAGTCAAGGACTGCTCCGATTAACTATCCTTTGCACTGGCACTAATGTTGACTTTGGCATTTACCAGGAGGCCCAGGGAGCGACACGTGGCTTGAAGCACTGCAAAATACCTTTGGATTTGAGACCTAAAGCTGCCCTTGACCAGCCAGTCGTCGAGGTACGGGTAGATCTGGATACCCCAGCACCTGAGGTAAACCGCTACCACGGACATGCACTTGGTAAACACACTTGGTGCTGTCGCCAGGCCAAACGGGAGGACTGCAAACTGGTAGTGGTGGGGCCCTACCATAAACCGGAGCAAGTGTCTGTATCCTTGAAAGAGCGCTATGTGGAAGTATGCATCCTTCAAGTCGAGAGCGGCATACCAGTCTCCCGGATCCAGGGAGGGGATGATAGAAGCCAGGGAGACCATGCGGAACTTTAGCTTCTTCACGTACTTGTTGAGGTGTCGCAGGTCCAGGATGAACCATAGACTGCCTTTGGGATTAAAAAGTACCGGGAACAGAATCCCTTGTTCCTGTACTTGAGAGGAACTTCTTCCACCATACCCAACTGTAGTAACCCCTTTACCTCCTGTGCAAGGAGACTCTTGTGAGAAGGGTCCCTGAAGAGGGATGTGGAAGGAGGGTGGGAAGTGGGGATAGAAAGGAACTGGAGGATATAACCCTGCTCCACTGTGTGGACCCAGGGGTCCGAAATTATAGCTGTCCAAGCATGGAGATAGCGGAAGCCATGGTGTGGGCAGCTACATCAGCAGCATCTGACGTGGCCTGGAGGGCCACCCTGGCCGCAGTCATTCTCTCATCGAGGATCGCTCAGAACTCCGTCTTGGAGGCCCTCAGGGAGCAACCCTTTGAACTTGGCCATGGCTTGCCACATATTGAAGTCATATCGGCCAAGGAGGTCTTGGTGGTTGGCCACTCTCAGCTGAAGGACGAATAAACGTTACATCCAAAGAGATACAGCCTCCTCCAGTCTTTATTTTTTGGGGGTGGCCCCA